GACCCGTCCCCCCGTTCCGCCCCTGCCTGAGGGGGAGGAGGAGAATGTGGAGGAGGAAGAGGGCAAACAGAAGCCCGAGATGTGCGCACCACCGGTGCTGAAGATACGCCCTCCTGTCACCGAGACCCCATCGTTGGTCCCTGCAAGTGGCTCCTGTGCTGGCGGAAGCGCCCCCCTGGAAGGGCGAACGCTCCAGGGTCCCGCCGAGCGGGCAGGAGCACGCGGCCGAAGGGGTGCTGCCATCCGTGCTTCTAGGCATCGCGGCGGCGGCGAGCCAGCATCACAAAGCCCAGGGGAGTTTGCAGCGAGAGCCCCGCGCTGGCAGAGCCGATACGGAGGTCGGGCCCCGGGGCCATGAGCAGGGGCGGGGGCCTCGGGCGGAAAGGCCGGGGCCCGCCCCAGCGACACGCCTGGTGGCTAGACGATGTGGGGATGGACGTCTTTTAGCCCGCGTGGACGCCACACAGTGTGCTCGTAGCAGTCTGTGCGCAGGGCAACCTGTGTTTTGCGATATGTGCTGTGCAGTCTATGCGGTCCAGATGTGGTGTGCGATGCCCGAGGTGCAATCTATGTGGTGCAGGATATCTCGTGCAATCGAAGTGGGGCAAATGATGTGGTGCAATATAGGTTGTGCAACCGATGTGGGGCAATATATGTGGTGCAATGTATGTGGGCTTATATATATATATATATGTTGTGCTGTCTATTGTGTGCGATCTATGTGGGGTATTTTCGGTAGTGCAGTCTATGTGGTTCAATCGATTGCACAACATGCATTGCAGAACTTCTGCAATGCATGTTGTGCAATACAAGTGGTGCAGCCTATGTTGTGCATTCTCCGTGGTGCCGCCATTGTGATGTAATCTATGCGGTGCCAGGTAGATGTTGCGCATTCTACTTGGAGCAATCAGTATGGTTCAACCATGGTGTGCAATTTATGGTGTGCATTCTATGTGGTGCGCAATCTATGTTGTGCAACATCTGTGGTACAGCCAATGTTGTGCAATCTATAGATATATATATATATGTATATGGTGCACTTCGCGTGGTGCGCAATGTATGATGTATGTTGTGCAATCGATGCTGCCAGCCCATGCGATGGACATCATGTTACGAGCGGTGACGGCGGCGACGGGGCGGCGACGGCGACAACATAGCCGCAAGACCGCCAAACCAGCCCAAACAACGGGCGGCGACGGGTCTGCGACTGCGACAACACAGCCGCCAGACCGCCTCACTTGCCCAGTGCCTTCGAGGAGACATGAGAAGCCCCAAGTGCAGGCACCGCATTGGGGACACATCGGATGGCGGAGGACGAGGAGACGAGGAGGAGCAGGAGGAGGAGGAGGACTAGAGCAACCCCACGATGCACCAACGATGCTGCAAGCCGCTCCCCTGGCCGAGCTCCCCTCCTCCATCGGCTCGTCAAGTCGCCTGCTCTGCCGCGGGAAGCGCCCCCCTTGAACGACGTGAGCGCCCCATGGGCCCGCCACACAGGCGGGAGCTCCGGCCCGAAGGACCGGCCTCCACCTTTCGAGCTGCGGGTGCTGCGACAAGGTCAAGGGCTTCAACGTTCAAGCAAGTGCCCAGTGGCAGCTCCGCTTCGAACAGCGGCCGTCCTGGATCCGTGGAGGTGATGCACAACTTCCGCCCCTGGTTTGACGTCGGGCACGTCCCTCTACCGGAGGAAGATTCAAAAGCAGTCAGAAAACTACCCTGAGGAAGGACCCAACCATACGCAGGTGTTGGTACTGCTTTGTGGATCAATCTTTCGACGGGCCTCCCTAAATGGTTTTCTCCTCCTCGCCCTCCTCCTTCCCCTCCTCCTCCCCCTACTTGTCCGCATGGCGTGTATCTCCTTCTCATCTCCCCCTGCCCCCCTGCGCTTCGGCTGGAGCCTAATGGGGCCACGATCCGCCGGTTCCTTCTATGCACTCGAAAACTCCCCAATAATTCTCCCTCCGCTACCACTCATACCTCCCCACCGGCCAACGTGCAACCCTCACAACACGCGCGCGCAAAGCGAACGCTCCAACGAGCGCAGAACACAATTCCTAAAACATCGCGATGGTCCTGTCCCTCTAAGCCACCGACCTACGTGCGACCGTCCGATAGCGTCTGCGCAAGGCGAACACCCCAACGAGCCCCCAAAAACAATTTCAAAATTTCGCGATGATCTTGTCCTTTACGCTCTCGAAGACTCTCAACGAATGTCCACCCACTCCCGCGCTTTCCTCCCCACCGGCCAACGTGCGACCCTCAGAACATGCGCACGCAAAGCGAACGCTCCAACGAGCGCCACACACCATTACAAACATTTCGCGATGGTCCTGTCCCTCTAAGCCACCGGCCTACGTGCGACCGTCCGATAGCGTCTGCGCAAGGCGGACACCCCAACGAGCCCCCCAAAACAATTTCAAGATTTCGCGATGATCTTGTCCCTTCTACGCTGTCGAAAACTCCAACGAATGTCCACCCACTCCCGCGCTTTCCTCCGGAC